CTATAAAACATGCTGGGACTTCCTATTGGGGGAGGCCATATTGTTGGAGAAACAGGGTATCTAGTGTGTTATGAGTCTCTGCTTCATAGGTTGCTTTTATTTCTTCCTCTTTACAAGCTTCTTAGATATAATTGATATGACATTCAGCTTTTACAAGCAATTTTTTGGCAGCAATTTTATTCCTCTTTTCGTTCCTCAGATTATTTCTCTGATTGCTATTTCATAAGGAACGTGTGCATGACTAGTGCAGCATATTTTGCTAAGTCCTAATGTGGTTTGTCTGGTTATGGATTAGCATATTGTATGTGTTTAGTTATTTTGAGTGTCTTCAAGAAGAAAGGAAGATAAAACAGAATTATTAGTAATTATAATAATGATCACGCTGCTTTGCAAATGGTAGTGTATAGCTTAGCATATGCATCTCTATTGTTTATTCAATAATCTATGATTAATAAAATGAAGTCTTGCATATTCTATTTAGGAAGCACTGGAGGGTTCCATCTAATGTTGTATGAATAAATCATCTCTCTTTTCTCCTTGTCCCTGCAGTCTTGTGCCTCCAGATTTCATTCAGAAAATTTTGTAACTTTACAGAGCAAATTTCATACTCATTCGGGGAGTGGAGGGGGAGAGTTTGTTTCATTAGCATTGTTTCGACTGCAAGTGACACTATTATTCTGTATATTTAAAATATTTTATATCGGAAACAAAAGCAGCTTTGCTTTATGAAAATATTACATTGACTGAATTGGTTCATCATGGACTTTTATTAGATTACTTTTTGGCTTCATTTATTAGGTATATAGCATATGTGTTGGATATATTGAAATTTGAATTGTGTCAGTGCTTTACCTTGTGTCCTTAATTTAGCATACATATTGTTCTGTATGTTATAAAAATGCCGTACTTTTATTATTTGACTTTCCAGGCCCAAGACTGAAAAATCAAGTTTGAACTATATTTCTTTACATCAAAAAACTGTTATGTGACTCTAGGTTATCTGTTAACTTAGAACAAAAATGTAGCTAATACATAATTTTGTTTTATGGATGAGATTAATATCAATTGATATAAGTAGTTATTGTTTTTTTTGTGTGTGTTTCTTCATTCTGTCTGGTAAATCATATTCAGGTTTTTTTTTTTAATGAGAATTTTGATTGATACGCCAGCTGAATTCCTTTCTGAAAGATAATGATCTTAATATTATGTGTATTCTGGAAACCTCTAGGCTTAACCATAGCAATCTGCTCTAGATGGGGTTACACTTATATCCAGTGTGAATACTTAAGTTGGTTCAAGACTCAGCAGCGAAGTTGGGCTTGTGAAGAATGTGATGAGACCACATAATATCTGGGTGAATTTCTGGGTAAAATGCAAAGTATTCTCCCCCTCCCTCCCTCCCCGCTCTCTCTGTGTATGTGTGTGTGTGTGTGTGTGTGTGTGTGTGTGTGTGTGTGTGTGTGTGCATGTGTGCATGCATGTGTGCATTTTTGATTATGGATGGTGCATGGATTACTTGTAGCCCCTGTAGTTTTTCTTGGCAAGGTTTTTTTTAATGGTTTGCCATTGCCTCCTTTCTAGGACTGAGGGAGAGTGGTTGGCTCAAGGTCAGTCAGCTGGCTTCATGTTTAAGGTGGAAGCAGAACTCACAATCTCCTGGATTCTAGTCTGGTGCCTTGATCACTATGTCAAACTGACTCTGTTTCTGGGAAAAAGAATATATTAAAATATTTTAAAACCTCACATGGTGCATAAGGCTTCTTAAGATAATATTATTTCTATAAAAGCCGCCATGTTTACTAAGCCTTCACTGTTGCCAGTAGGCCTTTGGAACATACTCCCTGTAGAGTTAAGGGATTCTAACATCTATTTTCTTTTCTAAAAGATCCTTAAAATGCATCGTTTTGTATAGGCTTCTAGTTGTTGATTTAGTTAATTTTAATTATTTGCTTGCTATCTTAACAATTTTTATTATCATGATTTTAAATGTTTGTTTTTTTAATTGCAAACTGCTAAGAGCAGTGGGCAGAGATAAATCAAATTAAGGAAATAAATAAAACCAAAATTGTATGTTTTCCTGGCAGCTGTAATGGCGAAAGGAAGGAGATACAGTGTAAACAAATAAGATGCTGCAGTTCTTGGGGGAGGAAAGAAGATTGCTTTGGGACCAGGAACCAGATGGGAACAAAGTGTTACTGAGAAATGCTACTGTACATTATTGTGAAGGAAGGAAAGCAGAAAAATCTTTGCTCTTGTTTCAAATCAGCTGTAGAAAAGAGAGAAAAAATTCCTTCAGCCTCCAAACTGAGTCTACAATACATATCATGTAAGGCTTCAGTCCATGTTCCAAAATGGTGCAACACTATTGCTGGGTTTGGAGATTAATTCTGTAAAAATTATCTGGGAGTATCTCCCACTATTCTCAAAATGCTTGCATTTGACTATGAAGGATTCTTGATGCATAATAAATTATGACTAGGCTAGCTTATTAGATTCTCTTTTTTATTTTTTTGTCTTGCATTGAAAATATCTTGATCTCTGTACTCATGTAGTATATTGGCATTGAATTGAATTTTAACTAAATTATCCATTTTATTTTGGGGAAAAAACAGAAAAGCCAAAAACTTCTGGGCTGTCAGAAAAGAGAAGAAATGACAAAGAGCTGAAAGGAAAAGAGGCAAAATTTGTTATGACAGTACAATGTTTTAGGTTTGATTCCAAAAAAGGTACTTTCAGAATACATGGATTTAACAGTCTGCAACTCCTTAAAGCAGCCTCACCTTTTCTGGGATTGTGTAGTATTCTTGGCATAATTCTATTTGGTTTAGGAGCACAGTTAAGAATATCAAGGTGGATATTCATACAAAAAGCAAATGCTCTTGATCAAGCTTTATTTCTAAAGATTTCATGGCACCAATAAGAAAAGTGCAGATTTCATGGCACCAATAGAAAATTGGTTTTCTATTACTTTATAATTTTTCAACATTTCAAGCTAGTTTGCTGTCTAACTCCTTCTTAATCTCCTGTCCCGGTGCTAACCAGATCTAGTCCTCTTTAGTTTTATGAGATCAGCCAAGGTTAGCTAGTTATTGCTACATAGCTAGCCTTTACGATGCTTCAGTGAAATGCAACGTTTTGCAAATTTTAGAACCTCAACTTACAACAATTCTTCATTTAGTGACTGTTTGCAATTACAATGGCACTGAAAAAAGTGACTTATGGCAATTTTTCATATTTACGAATGTTGCAGTATCCCCATGGTCACATAATCCTAATTCATATGCTTGGCAACTAGTTTGCATTTATGATGGTTACAGTGTCCTGGAGTCATGTGCTCCCCTTTTGTGACCTTCTGACAAGCAAAGTTAATGAGGAATCCAGATTCACTTAACAACCATGTTACTAACTTAAGAACTGCAGTGATTCACTTAACAAACGTGACAAGAAAAGTTGTAAAAAGGGGCAAAACTCATTTAACTAATGTTTCACTTAGCAACAGACACTTTGGGCTCAATTGTGGTCATAATTCGAGGACTACCTTTATAAGGGCAGTGAAAAAGCTCAGGGAAAGTTAAAAAATTACAATACAAATACAATTGTAAAATGCTTGTATTTGCAAAAATGTATCTTGAATTTGCACAGAAATTTGGTATGAAATTTTGATATCATGACTGGTTCTATTGGTGATACTCTTACACTGATAGAACAACAGAATAGAGTTGAAATAGGAAAAAGATTTTTAAGTGGGCTCTACCTTCCTATATGTGTTTAATTTAGTATGGGTTCCTCAGCTTTTTTTATGAAATGCCTCAATAAGTTTTCAAGGAGCAGCAATTAAGTGATTAAGCATAGGTTTTAAAAATATGGAAATAGTCTGCCTAAGAACCAGCTTCATGTTGCAATAATTATTTGGAATCTCTATTTTGTCAGGTACTGTGTTCTCCTTCCCCCCCCCTGAAGTTTATATCATGAACAATCCTAAGCTGTCTTCTCAAAACTAATTCTCGGTGAACTCTACATGCTATACTTCTAACAAGCATGCTTCAAGACTGAACTTGAAAACATTTACCATTTACATCAGCATAAGGCAATTTCAGTTATAGAGCACAATTTTTTTCTTTCTCAAATGTAACTGGGAATGTGTATATTTAAAAAAAACAGCTATTTATGAAAGTTATCCAGACCTATAAGTCCAGACCCAGATTGGCTATGCCTTGTCTTAGATTGTACCTATTCATTCCTCCATGCATTGACCTGTTCTATTTCTATCTCATTTTTTTGCTATTTCTGATTCTCTCACAGCTGAAGAAAGGCAGCTTTTCTAGGAATGTGGAATTAAGATTGATTTCCTACAAGCAGCTGGCAAACCTGAAAATCTGAAACTGTTCGGCAAACATACTTGAACATAAGAAGTTGCATGCCGGATATATTTTCAATTCTTGTTATTGTGTATCAGTTAGATAAATAGTATTTTATTCCAGATGAAGCATACTTTTTTTAAATATGTGCATATATGTACATATAGCATATGTGCACTCCTTCAATAATTTCACCTTGACAAAGTGAAGGGGGTTGTGTGAATAAATGAAATTGTGGGCTATGTGATCGGACATGTACATGTCTAGAAGGGTCTCCCAAGGTGAACAGGCTATAATACCCCAGACTAACACCGTCCTGCCTTGTACTAGCATGGCAAATTATGGTCTATTCCCGTGGTGGCTAACCTTTTTGGGCTCCTATGCCAAAAATTGTGCGTGCCAGCACCCAGAAGGCAATGCATTCCTTCCCACACACACCCTGCACATGCACGAGCAATTCCCCCTGCCGTCCCCTTACCTACACTGCATCTCCCAGGTGATTTTTGGCCCATTTCCGGTATTTCCGGAAATACAGGAAGTGATGAAACGGGCCTATTTTTCGGTCTGCAGAGGCTTTCCTCAAGCCTCTGGGAGGCCGAAAAAAGCCTCAAACAGGCCAAAAATCAGGTGTGAGTCGCACGCATGTGCAGTGAGGTAAGTTTACCTGCGGTCATGTGCTGGCACAAATGGCTCTGTGTGCCACCTGTGGCACACATGCAATAGGTTTGCCATCATAGGTCTATTACTTCCACATGCCAATATACCCATATTGGTTGGAAACATGCGGAAGAGGCCTTCATCCTGCAGTGGATAGACAATGGCTAAAATGATATACATATATTTTATGTTTTTATGTATATAGACAACATTTACATACATAGACATATATAATTACTACCAAAGTATACAGTTTTCTTCAGTAAAAAAGCAATTGTTAATTTCTTTTAAAAGGTTTCAAATTGTTTTTGAATGTATTCTGTTAACTCAAATATTCTGGAAATTAAAAGGTTCATTATCCAGTAAAATTGTGTAAATCCTTGAAGATATGGACAAATTTGTAAAGCCTCATTCAATAGGACAAGTTTAAGAAAGTGTAAACTGTGTGGCGTGCAGTAAGGTATTTTGCTAATCTGAGATACATACAGAATCTCTAATAAATAAGTTTTTGTATTTGATTGAAAGAGAAGGATAGAATTAAAACCTGGATTAATCTTAGGTGGATTCACTGAAATCAATCAAAGTTAGTAATGTTTAATCTGTTTTCTCAATGTACAATTAAGACAAGATACAACGTATAATTCTGATTGAAATATATATAAAATACACAGGTTAATTATATATGCATACACCTACAGGTTCTACCTATTTGTATTGCCTTTTCTTTTTCAGAGAGAGACCAAAGGCCAGTTTCTCATAGATCATGTTTGCAATCACTACTGTTTGCTAGAAAAAGACTATTTTGGCATTCGCTATGTGGATTCTGAAAAACAGCGGGTATGTATATAAATTATCTCATAATTTATTTTAAGTGATGTTATTTCAGTGAAACTGCTAGCTAGTATGCTTTCATTCCCCTGGCACAAATGCTTCAGTGATGTCCAAAGAGATGAGTATGTGCTCATTTCTCTGAGCCAAAATACATTTTATTGCCAGAGAATCAGCAGCTAATCAAGAATATAATGTGAAGGTAACTGTGTGCTTATTATTGTGTCACTTCCTCGATAATTGCTACTTCAATATAGTATTTGGAATGGGGCTTCTTACGAACCTAGTTCTAAGGATCACCATAGTGCCAATCTCAGATAAAGCCTTTTTAGCTTAATTAGGGCGTCAGGTGTCTCATGGCTTTAAGAAGACATTCTTTAGCTTGGAATGTTCTGGGTTCTGATTACTGGTATTTTTCATGGCTTTCCCAGTGGCATATCTTAACTTGACTGAGTGATAATCTATATCTTGATTCTACCTTCACAGGCATGACTTTGACCTGCTTAACTGAGATAATGTAATCAAAAATCGACTTGCTTTCTCCTATAGTACTGTAAGCAGAATGTTTCAATCTGGCTAATATGATTGGATTTAATTTACTTGAAATCAAATCTGCCCAGCTAATCTTTTCTCATATAGGCAAACAATAAAATATGAAAACAGTGAGTTAGGCAATGCAGTGTAACATTTTTTTATTGAAAATAAAATAAAACATACTTCTGAAACCAGCTGTTGAAAATTTTCAGCTTGCAATAAATAAAAATCTTCAAATGGCCTCCTAGACTTTTAAAATTAGAGCTATCAGATCTTATGGAGATTCTCAATCATCTAAGGTCATGATTGTCCCAAATATGTTTTTCAAAAGGCATATAGACATTTGCTTTTTCCTTGATGATGTTTCGCTTCCCATCCAAAAAGTTTATTTAGTTCTGATTGAATGGTGGAGAATGGAAAGATTTATACTGTATTTTTTGCAGTCATCTGCAAGGAATATAAATCTTTCCATTTGCCACCATTCAGTCAGAACTTGGATGAGAAGCAAAACATCTTCAAGGAAAAAAAATAAAGAAAGTCCACTTTTGAAAAAGCACCTTTGGGAGTTACCAGATCTGTGTTGCAGAAATTCACATAATCAAAAGATGACAGAGAGTTGGCATTGCTGATGCCATCTAATGGATTTCTAGATTTTTTTCAACTTAGATTTTGTACAGTAGCCTTATTTAAATATTCTCCTCATCAAGAAACAAAGCTTCAGTGAAGCAGTGTATCTGGCAGATGCACCAATAAATCTTATTTATCTACTAAAAGTATTTGCAAGAGGTGTCTCACACAATACGTATTTTACAAATGCACCATTCCTTCTAAAAAATACAGTTTGGCTGTCTGCATTGTACATATATAGCTTCAGTGTTTTGCTGGAAAAGTAAGTGTTGTCTGTATGCATACATGAAGACAACTAGAAGTAACTATTGAAGCAGCCACAGGAGACTTTAATGAAGAGTGTGAGTGCTTTCTTTCCTTTTGCTAACATACTCTTCAAATGCTTTGCCCTTCTATAGGTTTACATAATATACAACCATTTAGTCTTGTGCTTCATAGAGCAAAATCACTAAAATTATTGCTTTTATGTAATTAGTACAAAAAGAATATGATGTTTTTCAGGTGGGTAGGAAATGAAATCAATTTTTATATTTTGAATAAAATATGAACGTAATAAAAATAGTTAAATCAGAATATTGTTAGCTTATACCATCCCAGTATTATGAATTGTGCCACTTGACTTTCAGATACAGTAGAGGTTGTTTGATTACAGAATGTGCATTTATAGAACCCTACAGCTCAACTGAGATTTATTGCTTATATTGAAGGATTCATCAGATTTATGAGTGTGTTAATCCATTGCTGAATTGCACAAAATGACAGGACTTTTGATGGAAGAAATAACGCACACAGCCAGCTGGGTAGCAATAGCTCAGTGTTTTTGTAACAGTAGCAATATTTATCCTTTGAAATTGTTCTTTGTTAGAATTTGATCTCTCTCAGGATCTCTTGCAGATCCTCCATTATAAAGTGCATTCTAATCCATGCGTAGGCTTAAAATAAAATTGTCAGATATTCTGGAGAAGTGTTGTTGGTGTTCCTAAAACTAATCTCATACTTTGCTGATATCTATATTGTCGTTCAGAAAATAAAAATAGATTCAGGCTTCTTGCTGATGCAGAGAGATGCATTTCCACTTTTGCTGTTATTTCGAAGTGGGCATATATATTACAGAATAGGATCAATATTTTAAAATGTAGCTCTTGCAGAAACTTTTATTTAGCTAATTAAATAATTCTACAGTAGAGAAGGATAGAAAGGTAAAAGCCCAATACTTATGATTTTAAAGCTAGCAGAATATGTTGACAAGTCTTAATATTGGCTTAATTTACACTAATTAAGAGCTAGTCTTGCTTGTAAGGACAAGTTGAATATAGACTGTAGGCTTTTCCCCCAACTTCTTTCACATAGCATTTTATTTCAGCTGTTGTGACACATGCCTTTGGGGGTAAGATTGAAGATGAAACTGTAAACACTATGGCTTTGTTACTGCATTCTTAAAGGCTGTTCTGATTTTTGCCTCCTGTCAGTTTTGCATATATGTGATTTATGTGTGGATGACATATTCCACATGAAGGTGACAGTGATTAGCAGATCATTAGTTTCCTTTTTTTTTCTAGCCACAGATTCAGCTTCCAGTTATTTATTTTCATATCAAATGTATAGACCACCCATTTTACCTCAAGATAACTTGAGTTATGAACCCAAAAATCCATCAAGAGTGAACAAACCTGCTTCATGGATGTGCTATTATTGTCTAAGACAGGGGTGTCAAACTCACGGTGTCACAGTGGTGTCACATGATGTATCAGGATTCCCCCCCCCCTTCGCCAAACTGGGGGAGCAGCACGTGAGGCATGGTCGACACCCCTGGTCTAAGATAACTGGAAACTCATACTGATATCTTGTTATTCATTTTTCTGATAGAAATAGAAAAGATATACAGAACAGATACAGAACCATGGGAATTCCTTGAAATTTGATGCCAATGGCTGAAATCTATAGATATTAACATTGATTTCAGAATAGTTAGACAAATGGACCATGACATTAGCCTACAGACCAATAAAAACTAAATGGAATTAAAATCTAGTTTATTTTGAAATTATAGTCAAAGTGCGAAATAAGCTGGTGTAATTAAAATTGGTTTATTTTTATGTGAGATCAAAATCTCCCAGTGGAAAATTGTTCAAAATTAATGAGATTTAGTATTTACACTTTAGGATTTCTTTTTCTATTAAAATTTTCATAACAGCAATATTCCTTACAGCAATATTCCTTACAATTGAATCCTAAAATAAGTGCCTTAATTTTTATCATCATTGATTCATTGATTTCTATTTTTCATTAACTGAGAAAGTAAGTTAAAGCTAATAGTGTTTCCAAAGAACCATTGATTTCCCAACCAGTCATGTATTTTCTTTCACAATTTCCCTCCATTTCTCTTCTTTGTTTTCTGTCTCCTCTAATCCAGTTAATCAATAACATTCCATAGCCACTAATCATGCTCATTCATCAATGTTGTTCTTTTCTTTAGAGGCAAGTACAAGGGGTATAAATGATAAAAGCAGTATTGTACTATTACAATCCAAAATTCTGCCCATTTTGTAAGTGTGTCATGAAGTTGCACACAAACTCTAAAGAGCAGAGTTTTAATGCAGGCTTTGGGCCCTGAGAACACCTTTCCTTCCCTAATATTTATGTTCATTTATTTATTTTATTTGTTTATATATCAAACTTCTTAACTACCCACAGAGGGATTCCGGGAGACGTTATTTTATGACAACTCTACTGACACACTTTTATACAGTTAACACTATGATACTATTTCAAATATAAAATAATTAATAAGTCTGTGCCTGCATAGAAATAATAACAATAGACATAGAACTTTAATTAACTGTATGCAACCTACGTGACACTCAAAAGTAAACAGTGTTTCTCAACTTTGGCTACTTTAAGATGTGGATTTCAACTTCCAGAATTCCGCAGCCAGCCTGCTTGCTGTGGAATTTCTGGAATTTGAAGAGCACACTTCTTAAATTTGCTGAAGTTGAGAAATACTTCTCTAGAGAAATATATAATTAGTGAAGTTGTTGAATTTGCAGATAAGACACATTTTTTCCCCAAATAATTCCAAATTCTCAGACAGACTGAAAAACTGCAGAAGGTTTCTTTTTTTCAGTCCTGCGGATGAGATAGCAAAAGGATAGATTGGAGTCAACATTAATTTCACTGTCCTACCATCAGGGACAACCATCTCATTTGTTGATAGATCTTAAACCTAGCTCTAGAAATGCTTTGACCATACATACGCCTTACAGTAGAAATTAATCATATTGGCATCATCTCCTTAGCAGAAACTAATATTGGACAACTTTAAATCAGAACACTTAACACCCCTCTGTAAGTGTTTCACAGATATAAAAAATATAATTAAAATAATATTTTGTTTCTTCTACTCATGATTAATGCTTTCATAGATGTAGGAATAATAGGCACATATAGGAAAATTGGCATTTAATATTTTTAAATCTTTTTTTTTTTAAGCACCCTTGTAAGTTCCAATGAAATAACCTTTCTCGTGTTGAGGCTTTGTGCTGTGGAGGCATACATAACAAATAAGTCTGCTCAGCAGTGTGAATAATTGCAAGGACACCTGCCATGGTAAATAGCTAGTAGCTACTGCTGGATATTAAAATGCTGATTAGAGATGATGTTTAGAAAGTGTGGCACAATACACTTCCCAAAAAAAGCAAGCAATAAGAAAAAACCCAGCAGGTGCAACTGTGTCCTAGTAAAGGTGTATACTAATAACCCTTTGCCCTCATAATAAAAAAAAAACTTCTCTAAAAGTCATCAGTTTGTCACTTTAAAACAATTAAGTAATATAAACACTGACCAATTTAGTTAATTCCAGAATGATACAAAATACTGGTTTACATAAATGAACTTTACAGGAATGTGACATTTATGAAATGGTCAGGTGAATGTCTATGCAATATGAACCAATGTAAATGTATGTATATTAATACTTGTCAGAGTTTAATTCCGTACTTAAATTTATTGACTTTAATGGCTTGTAGCAATTTAATTTGCTTATCTATGCATTTTATTTTTTATTGACTTGCAGTAGGAGAAAATAAATTTACATGGTTGCTAAGCATATATCAAATCAACAGTCTTTTTTCTCCACAAGCTCCCTCTGCTATCAAACTCAAAATTGGATTCAATTCAAACTGAACAAACTTTCTAGAGTTATACCCTAATACATGGAATAGGACTGTACCCACTTAAAAAATAATCCGAGAGAAATACTTAGATATTGTGACCATTAGAGCTCTCTGTTCATCATTAAAACATGCGTATACAACATTTTCTTTAAATTTCCATACAAGCTTGAGAAAAGTTTCAGTTCATTAAAATGGTAACCTCTTTTTAAAGGAGACGAGGCTGGCTTAATGAATAACAAAGAGATGCTATGGTCATACAATCTCCGGACAATTATTTGAATAGTTTTTGAAGAATGCACTGCTTTAATATGTAAAGGTATTGTTTAATTTCATCTTGCAGTGTTGTTTTGTGGATAAATTGTATACAAAAGAATGGGATCTTATAAGACTTCCAGACTGCCTTGGAGGAAAAAAAAAAAAACTAAATAAAAATGTAGCAAGATAAAGTAAGGATCTTTTTTATTAAATTAGGAAACTGCTAGGTATGTTTGTACCTCTTCATGGAAACTGCGTAAGACTGAATGTAAAATTTGTCATTCTTTACCTCCCTGTTCAAGTTTGAATAAAACATACCTATTACATATTTGCAGTGGTGGGCTGCTGGGTGGTTGGCAAGGTTCGGGCAAACCCCTAGCTGTGATCTCTGGCTGGGCCTGCCCACCTGCCCTTGTGCTATGCTTTCCCTAAATAACTAGCTCCCCCCGCAGGCTGCCCAGGTGAGTTCCGTGCCGCCCTGCTATACCCACCAGAGCTGCCTGAGTGGATTAGCTGCCTGTTTGAAGCTGCGTTTCAGCCCCAAAGCGAACTCCTTGTCAACAAAAGTGCAGCTCACCTCTGCGTATCTGTGATCACATTAGCTGTGCTTTTCACTTACAGATGCTACTTTCTGTCTATCCTCAGACATCTATGTGCCTCTTTTTGAAGCTGTTAACAGAAACACAATAGAAATCGCAGCTAGGAGAACACTGCTATCAGTTTACTACGATCTTGTGCTTGTAAGAAAATGATGTATTTTGCAATACTTTTGACTGGTGGCTTCTACATATTTTTTTTACAGCATTGGCTTGAGCCCAATAAATCTATCTTCAAGCAAATGAAATGTAAGTGTTAGAAGCCCATTTCATACATTGACCTATTATTTTAAAATGCCAGTGTTTTGCAATAATTTTATGTATTATGCCTTATTTAAAAATAACTTTAATAAATAACTTTAATGTATTCTGTTTATAGGCATTGAGCTCTTTAAAAAAACAATCTAGGACAGCCTTCCTCAATCAAATTGTGCTTTCATATACTTTTATCCAGCAGGATTTAATGGATGATGGGATTTGAAGGCTAACACACAAAGAAAAAGCTGATTGAGGAAGGCTAGCAGCCTGAGAAAGGAACTTGGGAAGCAGCTAAGTAGGGATGGGATGGATATAAAATATATATTCTTCATTTCATTTTAAAGTTAGTATTCTCTATGGTTTTGTCCCTTTTGGTTTATTGGAGGATTTTGTCCAGCTTTTCAGTGACGTTATCTTTCTGTGATGTAGCTCAAAACACATTCCTCTACAAACCTCTCCAGCTGGAAGCTTCATAATTCCAAGTTCCACACTGCGTGAGAAAACTGTTTTAGTCCCCTCATTGCTTATTTAAAACAAAAAACAAAAACAGCTTAGCTTTTCCAGAGACTTACCTCTCAATAACTGAATCAAAATCAAATATTCTATTAAGTTATAGTATGAAGTATCTAAATGTACATTATATTGTATGTAACTTGCCGTGTATGCAAGAACAGTAACTGACATAAGGCTATTCATAAGCTGTTTGGATGACTGGGATGATTAATGGGCTCTTGGTTTCAAAAACATCATTCCTGTGCCCAAACCGATCCTCTAGACAGAAATCATAGGCTCTCAATTTTCCTCTTTTATGGATTCTGCTCAGGAAACAAATGGGGATTTGAACTATCACTCCCTTGAGGAGAAACGGATTTGTGTTAGAAAGAGTGGAGAAATAGGAGTCCTACATTTTCACCCTCCCAGCTCAAAAAACCTCACTTAAAGCATCCTCTGTTTTAAGGGATAAAGTGTAATTTAATTTAAGCTGTCATGCCGTGGTTACTTCTTTTACTTGTGGAATGCCTGTCTGATCTGTCAGTACAACTACTATGATTTGCTAGGGATTGCATTGTAAATCTTCCAAGAAAGCTGCTTGCAGTCCATAAACCCTTGACTTTTGACAGTGAGCCATATTGCTTGTTATATTGACATATGCTTTAGTTACTCTATGACAAAAAGAGACGTTTTATCCACATACTCTCAGTAGAATTGCAATTTCTAACAAAGGCATTAGTGCTTTAATGTCTAGCATTGTGTTACAAAGGAAGGATCAATACGCATAAATGGATATAATTAGGACTCAAATTGTATACTCACATATTCCACTAATGGCCATTGAATCAATGGAACATCTCTGTTTAAATATGTATAGCAATGTGCTGCAGCTTTAGCTGTTGCAAGTAATTTTTTAATCTTTAGAATAAATAATATCATTTAAAGTAAGGTTTCTGAGGGAGATGAAATGCATTAACACATCAATTATACATTACAAGAAGTACTGAATATGCTTGGGAGTTCCTTATTCCCTAACCTACATTATCTTTACCTGATGGCCTTCCATTGGAATATAAGACTTCAGTTTTTAGGAAGGCAATCACTTTGTAGTGACTTGTAAGTTTTACTGTTTTATTGTTGCTTTTATGATTTTTATATTGATTGACTATTTTATATAATGATATTTCAAATATTTTGATAATATTTTAATTTCTTACCCTTTTAAAGTATAGGTGTCATACTTATTTTTTATTTTGTTTAAGTTTAAATATCCATAATGCCTTCAAGAAGCAACCATAAATATCCATAATGCCTTTAAGAACCAATCATTTTCATTTTTATCCCCACACCTTCAGAGATAATCTCATCTTTTAATGTGCTAGTTCAAATGGTAGTACAATAAGACTAGATTAAAAATACCCAGGCTGAGCAACATTCAGAAAATTCAAGCAGATGCAGGCTCTTCTGCTTGCATCTTCAATTCCCAATGCATGGTATATGGATGCTAAAATTAATTTTTTCCATTGTTTCATACTGTATTTCTGCTCAGGGTCCAGATAAGAGTCCAGTGAATCCCCACCCTTCTCTCTGTCACACACACCTCTCTTTCTAAATGTATTTGAATAGAGCATTCTAAAATAAGAGCTGAGTAAATATTGGAATGTGCTGAAATGAGTAGATTGACATTTGAAATTAGAGAACAAGAAGATAAACAATTTTATGAAGTTTGGGATCTTTTTTATCAATGGTTAGATAATACAATATAATAATAGAATAGTTAGAAATTTAGGAAATAACAAATATACATTTTTTCTTCGTCTTGATAACACTTTTAGAATATTTTATTAAGATAGACGGTATGATTTTATGATTTGTTATAAAATAAAGTAACTAAATTACAGTTATCTCGCTTAAGTATGAATTAGTAAAATTATAGTCAAATGATTGTTTAATAATGATATTAGGATATATAATTGTTGATCGATAATATGAGTTATTATGTAACATAATTATTATGATGACTATGAAATGGATGCACAAAAAGGAGTGGTAAACCAACCGATACACTGTCTGTAAATATATGAAGAATGATGATGTTTTTTATGTTATGTTTTATGTTTTATGTGTTTTTGTTTGTCGTTAAAATCAATAAAAACTTTTATTAAAAAAAAAATAAAAAATAAAATAAGAGCTGAGTACATAAATATATTTTATTTTAACAAAGAAAATGATAGAATCACATTAATTATACAATCAAATATGCATGATATCCAGGAGAAATAAATGTAGGGAGCAATTATGTATTGTGTAATTATGCATGATATATATATTTGTGTGTGTATATGTATATAAAATTATGTACTTAGATAAGCCCTGCATGGCTTGGAGCCAAGCTGTTTGATAGACTGTCTCTCTTCAATTGCATCTATCCAACCCATCAGAGCAGGAAGGTAGGGCATGTTGTGAGTCCCAATTATCAAGGAAGTACATCTGGTGGGGCCTAGGAAAAGAGCCTTCTCTGTGGCGGAATGGAACAACTTGCCACAGCCAGTTTGCCATAGCCAACTCACCATGGCCAATTTGCTGTAGCCAACTTGCCACGACCAGATCACTGCAAAACAATTCACTTTGACCAACTCACCACAGGACAACTTACTGCAAGACAATTCTACAATTCAATTTAATTATTATAATTTTTTTAATTTTTGTCATTTATATTTCATTTTGCCCCTCCTTTGGCATCTTTTCTTTCATGATTCAGTTCCACTATTTCTTCAATATTAGTGTAACTCTTTCTCCATGGTGAGTTGCGCTGTGGTGAGTTGTCCCATGGCAAGTTAGCTGTAGTGAGTTGGCCATGGAGAGTTGGCTGCGGTGAGTGTCGTAGACCTTTCTGTGGTAACTTCCTATGGAACATCATTCCCACAGAGATAAGATTACCTCCATCTTGTTGCCTTTCTACAAGGCCTTTGAAGACATGGTTTTGTCAGCCAGCTTGGGAATGGATCAAGTGGCTTGTCTCATTGGGTGGGATGGAGTTTAAATTGTGGAGTTTTAGCTGAATTTTAATGATGTATGCCGCATGTATGTATTCACTGTGTGTGAATTGGGCAGCTATATACATTTGTTTAATAAATAAATTATTAAAGTATAGTGACATTGGTTCAGTGGAAAAAGCTGAAAAATTGTCCTTTTATAGTCAGCTTTGTCTTGCAATCTTCTCCTCTTCATATCTGCCTCTACACACAGAATGAGAGCTTGTTGGCATTGTCGAACAATGGGTCAGAGAGTCATACATTTGGAAGGGACCAGGTGGATCATAGGGTTCAACTTCCTGCTCAGTCCAAAAGCCCAGATAAAAGCATCCCTAACCAATGTTTGTCCAGCCTGTTTGAATACATGCAATGAAAGGGAGCACACCATTTTTTAAGGAAAGTGATTCCACTGTCATACTCTCTTAATTTTAGAGGTTTTCTTAGCACTTAACTGAATTTCTATTTAAGATTGTTATTCCTTATACTATGGGACAATAGAAAGCAATTTGCATCATTCTTCTTCTTGTGTTCACCTTTATATTCTTGGAGAATGGCATAATATCCCTGTTCCACTATCTTTTTTCAAGACTAAACATACCCAGTTGCCTTAATCTCTCCTTGTAGGATTTGATTTTTCTACAATATAAATGGTTAAAATTAAATAAACATTACTGCTTATTTAGTTTAAAAAATTTAAAACTTTCTAACTATGCTGAATCTGTGACTTATTCC